AAACGAATTCCTCATTCTCTGGAACTGTAGGGTATAGAAGAAGAAGGTGATCAGCCTTGTGGACAGACCACCCACAGGTATATTATTAATATGTTTTCAAGGTGACCTTGCTGAACCTATTCCAACTGGATCCACCATCAGCTCTACGTTTGATCGAAGAAGGATTCGAAGTCTGTACAGCTCCAAAGGGATTCTGTAAGTTGTTGTGGTTCAGTAAAGTATTGTTGAAAAATGCTCGTCAAAAGCGCATTGCCTTCCGAGACTTTGTGGAAGGATATGAATGTTTGCCCACCAAGTTAGCAGTATTCATTTTGCGGTAGTATGAGTGACATACTACCGCTTGCTGTGCCTTGACCGCACGCGTAACCTTCACATGTTGTGACCATTGTTGTGTTCATGGTTGCGGCTTCAAACTGATTAACTGAATGGCAAGGCTGCAAGTTTTCTTGAATCTTTCAGATCTCGTTCATTTCACTGGAAGAAAAGCATCTGACGAACCGTCAATTCCTAAGATTTGTCAGCGAGTTTTTGGGGAACCTGATAGCGGTGAGTATCTTTCAAAGCTTCTTCTATTTAAACCTGAGAGAAACAAATTTCACTGTCTAGAAGAACGAATAACTTCAGAAAGGCCATCTCCATGTTGGTCTCTTCATTTCGAAGTGTTGACAACGGCATCCCTTGAATTACCGATGGACAATGTTGTCTGTGTGTCGGGTCCTGATCATGCATTGGATTACGCGACATCGATTGATGAGGTATGAACAAAATGGGCTGAGGCTTACTGACGTCTACACTATCAAATCCTTCTGTGACTCGTTGAAAAACTGTTCGCGCTTGATGACTGATGTGTGATTACCTGAGAGATGAATGTGTACATGGTGGGCGGGCAGGCGGCACGTCCCTTGAGAGCTCATAGTAGTGGAGCTCGAGGCTTTTGACTGCTTGATGGTCTTTTTTGTGGCTGGCCGTCATTCGTATGCGCTCTAACCGACTGCGCTCTATCGTGGAGATAGTAGGGATTGCTTTGTTGGTGTCGAAAAAGGTGATTTTAAATTACCGATGTTATGCCTGAAATCACCTTCGAAGAGGCCTTCCCTGAATCAGTCAAGCCCACTAAACACTGCGGTGAGAGAACGCAGTCAAGCTGCGTATATCGCGTGACTATATGGCTCAACAAATGGCGGATAGAGACGATTATAATTCCATCAAAACCTGAAGCTCATTGCAGTGAACCTTTCTAGTAACGGCGTAACTCACTTCTGCTGCTTCGGACCCGCCGACCTTGCACAAAGAAAAGGAAAGCATTTACCTCTTGGGTAATCGGAATAGGCCTTTATGCTCAGAACAGGCAATAAGCTACACTTTTTACGCCTAGCCCTGCATACAATAATAGCATTTTTCAGGCACAGCGAATCTTTTCGGCGTTTTGGCCCGATCGTGACTTCCTGCCGCGTTCGTTGCCAAAACCGGATGAAGAAGAAGAGGTGGTGGAGGAGCAGGCTGTAGAACAGGTTGCTTGAAGTGGATCTGTTCTGGAGGAGGCTTTATGACGCAGCTGTTGTACGCTTCTATCGCTTCAATTGATACGGTGATTGGCGTGAATTTCTCCGATGACATTTCCGAGTGGGCTTGAATTTTGACACCGTATTGGTTGGTGTTCATTTGAGTTGGGTTCTGTTGAGGTAAGACTGTTCCTGTGATAGGGGACAGTGCTGGAAATCTGTTTCCAAAAGTTGGAAGCTGAGTAAGTGGTATTGAACGGTGTTCTGAAGTCAGAACTTTGTGTTTTTTCGCTTCGAATATTCTGATTTCTGAAATATTTTCGGTTTTGCGGTGGTCTTGCTTGCTTTTGATGTTGTTGTACGGTGTTTTCTAACTTAAGCTTTTCAGAGTCATGTGTTTCCTATTCTGTCACTTGTTTTCATGTCTTTTTCAATGACCCAATTTGCCGCTCCTAGATGGGCTTGTGATCCATTCATCCAATGCATATTGACAGCTCGAAATGCCCGTGGACTTGATCCGGTTTTTACAACATATTTATTACTTTCTAATTTATTTGGCTTGTCTGTAGAACTTGTAAGATAGATGTGATATGGTGTCGTCGTGTTCCGATGTGAGGTATCTTCAATAGCTACCGTTTTTATTTCTGTAGCCTGTAGTGATCGATTTTTTTGCGCGTCTACGGCTATTTGTGATCTGCTTGGTATGTTGTTTAACATTCATCCATCCACATATGATTCCCAAAGAAGACGCGGTTCTCCCTTCGCTTACTCGCTTTCGAATAAACATTTTTGCCCAGGATATGGTAATTTTTCACTTTCCGTAGAATCACGTTCTTAATGTTGCCGTGCTTCTCGAGGTTTTCAGGGGAGTGAGTCGCAGGCACCTTAGCGAGTGCAACCGTGTCCACCGATTCCTCAGTTCCTTCTGTCGTAACTTGCGCCTCGAAGACTTTCACTCTACCAAAGGAGGATGAGCGTGCGGTTAGCGTCACTCGAGGCGCCATCGAAGAGCGATGTCCGGAGTTCCAGGCTACGCGCAAGTATACAGGGAATCCGGAGCTCCGCACTCCGTTGTCGATCGAGGATCGGGATGCAGCTACAATTGCCAAGTTCTCGAAGACCAGATGGGCCGGGCACGTCATGCGTTTTAAAGGTGACCGCTGGACCAGAGCGATTAACGGCTGGATTCCTTGGGATGTAGAACGAGCACCTAGACGACCACCCATACAATGGTCAGACTACTTTGTGAAAGCTCCGAACGAATAGTATGGTATTAATCGTGTCCCTCAAGCATGCAGAGCCCATGGGCAACCATGACATGTCCCAGAGACGGATGAATACGCTAGTGGCGCCCGATCGAGAAGCTCGATGATCAATGGGAGCAGAGGTTGTACATGTATTTAATATTGTGTCTACGCACAGGGTACAGCATCATGTTTGAAATGGTAGTGTAGGTACGACCCTCCCCCACCTCCTAGAGAGGGGGTCAGCATGACCCCCCTTTACCAAACGCTCATACAATTTGCCCACATTTTCGCAGTCTAGCTTTCACAACAGGCCGCATATTGGTTGGGGTGACCACTCCGCACACTGCCCTGCTAAAGGCCAGAAGTGCATACGACTCGCCCCCTCTCAAGCCATGAGCAAAAGTGCGACATCTGCCCTTCCTTTTACACTTCCGTGAAGCGAGAAATATCAGCTATCCAAACAAATTTTTCTCGGCCACTTAATACATCCTCTCCTGGGGCCAAATACACCCTCCCCTGTTAGGAATTCCAACAACGATGTGCCCTGCTTTCACCCAAAAATTTTCTCGTCGAGCGGGGAGAGGGGTATAATACGCATGAAACAGGAAAAATCACGCGAAAAGTGAACGACCGGGAAAAAATTTCCCTTAACACGTTGACGACGAGTCATTCTCTTCGTGACTTGCGCGTGGGACGGCAAATTTTCCTTAGTTGGCGCTTTGATAATTCCCAAACCAGTGAGTGATTCTGATCAAAGTGAGTCAAGAAATGCCTGAGACGAGTATATGAATCTTGAGTTACTGCCCCAGTCTTCTAAAATGGCACCAGTCTTTGCCCAGTTTTTTTTCTCTGGGCAGATTTTGCATCGCGTCTGGAGGTAGTTAGACCCCCGAACATGAACTTTGCAATCGTCTGGCACCAAATTGCCCTGGCGCCCGTGCATTGAGGGCTGGTGGCGAAGTGTTTTAAATTGTCTTCGCTAAAAATTTGTTTCAAGGTTGGTTCGACCTCCTGAACAGGGGTGTCACATTTGGCACAAAACTGCCTGTTGAGCAGATGTGATATCATGTTGCAGGAGGTCAAAGTGTGTGGTTTTCAGCGAACTTGGTGATCTGGCGTATTTTGGCGCACCAGCGCCCAAAAGTTGAAGTTGCTCGGGAGAAGCCATCTGCCATGTACATTTTGCATGTGCTAGCATAGAGGGACTGTAGGGCTACTGGAGCTTATGAACTTTGCTGTTTCGAATGTGCAAATGTTAAACAAACAAACGTACACGGAAACAGGCTGACGTAAAACGCTCTACCAGCTCGGATTGATCCTGTTCGCCAATGTCCGGATGCTCAGAATTCGCCCAGAGTGTGAAGCTCTATGTTGCCTGGGTATGTGGCAGAGAGTCGCCGCCCGTGGACGTCGCGTGCGACGTCGCGCCCGCGACGATTTTAGGTGGTGTTGGTCGAGAATAGATAATGTATGACCAAAAATGGGTGTAAGTCTCTACCATGTCCTTGTCTACATGAAATCCGATGCTCCAATCGAAAGGGTAGCGCAACTTAAGGAAATGTCGCGCTCATTGCCTGCCGAGGAATTTGCCCGACAAAGCGGCAATTTACGATTCTATTGCCCGTCCTGCCTAATAACAGAATCAATGCATTCGCGCACTCTCGGTTGACTTCTCGCATCGTGATTCTCTAGTGATAAACCGGACGTATAAGTGCGTTTGATACTGGCAGTAGAACTCAACTTGAGCGGTAGTGTTTCTCATTTCGTAGCCGGCCTAATTATCGAGCAGTTCTGTTTCGATTAATGTTACATTAACGGCAATGTTACGAATTTCCTTCGCTTCAGTTCTTAATCCTTTCACAGTCAGAAAGTCCTTAATATCTATCCTTTTTAAGGTAGGCTAGATGACTTTCACTCAGTTTTTGTTGATATTGTCACGACACGTATTTGGTTCGTAGCAAGACTGCGCTCATACTTTGCAAACCTAAGAAATCGCGCGATCACCCGTGGATCCTTCACGTTCAAAAAGTATGAACGCGGAGGATCAACGGGTCGGGTGACGCGCGCCTCCGGAAGAACCAGCTGCAACCAAATTTTATACATTTAGTCAGTGCACTCCCGCTTTCCCGCCTCGGAAACTGATGTATCTCTTCTCGCTGAGCCGCTGAAGTTCCAAAATGGCCGTACGGCACCGAACAGATTTCTCAAAGTACGTCCCTCAAGGTTTTTGTTGATGACTTGGCATTGATTCTGCTTTTTTTCTTTATTGACCACTTGTTCATTCACATTATTTAGGCGGCTCTCTCAGAAACAATAAGTTCGTGGGATGCGAAAGATCCATCGAAACGCGGATTGCCAACTGAAGAACTAGTGAACATCTACGATAAATGGGGTCACGGAAAATTCGGCATGATTATCACTGGCAACGTTTGTGTGGATCCGGTTAGTCCAAATTAAGTTTTTCTACTTCACTTGCATTCATATTTCGCGATTCGAGCGATCCAGCCGGTCGACTTGACTGCGTTCGACTGCGCTGTACCGCCAATCATTGGACCGCTGCAACTTCTGATTCATTCAAGCTTCTTTACTAAGTACGCGTTCATAACTTGCGTCAGTCTTTTGTGTAGACACGGTACCTTTGAAACGCTAGTAAACCTATACATTCCTAGTAGCTCTGAAACTCTATCGTCAGCCAAAACGCTGACACAACGTATGAACGCAATTCTAGTTTTTTGCCGCGAACTACTGCTTTTCCTCAAGACACAAGACATCTGATAGTTTTACCATTTCCATCCTCCTACCATCTTACTAGTATGGGGAAATGTGTTCTATTCTGAATGGTGATTGATCTTAGAGTTACAGTGGTCCTTGATCAGCATCAGACCGCCGTTGATTGGAGTCATGCGATTCGCGTGTCCGAATCGTTCGAATTCTGAAGTTGAACTTGATTTAGGAAAATCAAGTTCAAGGATTTGCTACCGCGCACGCCCAGCGCTCGCATTATGTCTGCTTAATAGAGGGGCATGGCGTTAATTCCGTGCTAGGACCTGGAGACGGTCTGGCCCACGCCGATTCGCCTGAACACAATCTGCAACACCAGGCCTTGCCAATTGGAGACGCAAAACGATCCGCGATTAATCATGTAGAATTACCGAAGTAGATTTGGTGTTCGCTCAGTTGATTAGGGCCCACGCTCACTGGCAGGAACCGAGATTGACGCCGTTATAGTGTTTTTGGCCCTCACTACAACATTACACAGCAAATTATGGTGCATAAAAACCTGCACAAATTTTGCTTAGACTCAATTTAGCATGCCTCTAATTCCTAATCATTTGACTGTCGCAATGCTTTCTGGACAGCATACTCTCAAGAGACGTACTATAGTCATTCTGTGAAGTACGACGGACTGTCCTGCTAAAACAAATAGACAATGTCATTGTCACGATCACAAACCCACTTTTTGAGGCGTGCGCCGATGCGTCACATACGTGCATTGTAATCGTCGCTTGCGACGCCGCGTGGTTATACCGTCACATAGCCTTCGTAACCGCATGCCATTATCAGCTCTTGTTGGCTTTTGTCACCTCACCATCAATGCTCCTTTCCACCCTTATAGTCACTTGCTGTGAGCTAATTGTGTCTTGAATAAGGTGAATCAGGATTTTTAGGTCCATCAATTAACCCCCCGCCCCCCCGGTATGTGACAAGAGAATCGATAATTCACCGCGGCGTCCGCTGTGCGACGTCGCATGCGACGATGTTTCCAGGTATTAGGTTGGCGCACAGTGCTTTCTCTAGCACTATTGGGCCCCCACACCTGGTTAATTTGTTGAGCTGTTTCGATTGCGGATTGCCCCAATTTATAGTCGAAGAAAAAAAATCGTTTGAAGTGCTCTCTCACATGCTTGAAAAATCTTGAAAAAAAGGGGGGTTTATTAAGCAATGGTGAAACGGCAATTATACCATCAGATAGCGCAAGAAATTCTCTACAGGATGTGCTACTGAGAAGCAAGGCAGAATGAGTTTTTAATCAGCAGTGAATGTACAAAATAGGTGCACAAAACGCTGAGAACTTTCCGGACAACCTAATAGTAGACAGCTAGGCAGGCACTTCAGAACCGAAAATAGTCATGTGTTCGATTGACATGTGTCATGTCAACCGAATGTCCACGTTGATGAGGTCTACATGAAGCCCGGTACTCCAAACGACAGGTTACACGTAAAAATAATGGCCGCGCGTGCGATTGTAACGATTCCCTTGCCCGTCTCCTCTCCCCCCCCCCTCCCCGCTACCAGTTCTTATTCTTGTATGTCAGCCACGCATGTGAGCCGAATAAGTGTTCATACTCACGCGCCAGTGTTGGTGTGACACGCGTCTTCCTCACTGCATTCGCAACCATGCCACCATGCCATATTGGTACAGAAAACATCGTATTATCTCAGCACCCACATCGGCAGTTCGCCCTACAAATGTCCTTATAACGATCTTTGAGGCGAGCATCATCATCAGTGGCTCAAAGAGTTCCAAATGGGTGTCTTATACGATAGAAGAGAGTGTTATCGCGGCATACGTATTGGATCACAACTTGGACACGTGGTATCTAAATTGGCGCAGTTCGGTAGAGGGCGTTTTATCCTATCAACACTTCTCTATCATATCTGCGAAGTCGTTTTGGCGGGAGGACATGCTTACACAGACACAAAAAAGAACTGACAGAGCAAGTTACTACAATGGGAAGTGAAAAGTGATACTGAAGATTCGTAAGCGTCAGTGAGACATCGGCCGCCGGTTGTCAGTATGCAAGGTACTCACGTACAGGCGACAGCATTTCAGGGGTTCAGCAAAACACTGCCCTGCGTCTGTGCAGACATGACTTTCCTCAACCGTTAGCATTCAGACTTCGCGACGGCAGCGCTTCAGTCGCGCGTTCGACGCGATCGATGCAGTCGAAAGCATGCGCATCGATCGCGTCGAACGCGCGACCGAGCGCTGCCGTCGCGAAGTCTGAACGCTGCCTTAGTAATATTTATATGCATTTCTATTTGTAACGCACGGACCGGATCCGTTCAACAAGTAAAAATTTGGCAAAATACGTAGTTATCGCGAACCAAACTTGGTAAATTGTTTGATGTTTGAGTGAGAAATGTGAGTCTTAAGAGATGCATTTTTCAGTTTCATCTTGAATCAGCCGGGAATGTAATATTCAGTAAGGAGAATGATTCAGTTCATCTAAGGGCTATTATTACTAAAGTGGCGAAGGCAATGAAGCAAGATGGAGCCCTGGCTATCGCTCAGTTATCACATGTATGCTTTTTCTTTTTTTTCAAAAGTGAGTCAAAGCGTAATTCCAGATCATGGATCTGTTGACCATCACATTCCCTTGATGATCACTGATGACCTCCATGTATAGTTCATATCTGTGAGCATGAGAGGGCGTTTCCGCGTAGCTAGTTGCGAGCTCAGCAATGGCTGCGAGGGTCTAGACCGACGAGAAACAAACATTTGTATGAGAGAGGAGAGCTTGCATGTAAACACAATCAAACGTCGCCGAGCGTACTACATACAAGGGTCCCTTTTTGCCCTCCAATGTAGGTACTGCCGATGTGTAGTATTACGCAATATTAGCCTTTACTCTAGAAAAGCAGTTCAAACACGATTTTGAGTCCGCGTGCATGCTTCGCGACTGGGGCGAATCGCACGACTGAGACCGACTGCGCTCCATCGCTAACTGGTGGACCGGTGCGACGAATAGTCTGTTCACACTCAACACAGAACTTCTGTAGTGCCTTAGTCGTGACTGATCTCGTCTTTTTTCAGGCTGGTCGACAAACACCGAAAACGGTGAATCCGCAACCGCTTTCATGCTCTGATATAGAACTGAAAGTGGCTCAACCTTTGGTTGGCTACGGACGTCCCATTCCCCTCACCGAACAACAAGTGAAGACAGATGTTGTGGATCGATTCGTATATGCGGCAAAGTTTGCTCAAGATTGTGGTTAGTTTGTGCTTTTTACATGCTTCTCTTGGTTTTGTGGACTTGGTGAGGGAAGTATAGGCAACTGATCGCTGATGTTTCGTCCATACTTCGCGACTTGAAGCGGCTCACACGTGCGATTTGAGATCGCGCAACATTCCAACAGCTATGCTAATCGTCGTACCTCTGCAACAGCCGGGAGCAATTCTATCATGAACGCGATTGAATAAGCAGCTGCTGCGGAGCAACGCTCAGCGGTGGAGCACGATTGCTAGCCTTGTGTGTTGGTGCCAGGCAGGGCACGCCATCGCGTTGTGATCATTTTCTGAAAATTACGACCCCCCTAATTCCATACTAAAATACGACCCCCTTTTTGGGAGTTGGTACGACCCCCCCCTCCCAGCCCTCTGTCCTTCCTCATCGAACCGAGCCGTCGAGCGGGGGGGGAGGTCGTCAGAATTAAACTATCATTTTCAAGTGTCGGAAATAGTAGTGCGTCCGTGAACTGACCAAATACGACCCCCCTCAAAAATGACCAAGTACGACCCCCCTTTACAGCGTCCGTGAAACAAGAGAAATCAACTATCAAAAAAATCTTTCTCTGACCAAATACGACCCCCTCCCTTCAAATACGACCCCCGCCTTGTGATGATCACAACGGTGGCGTGCCCTGGTGCCAGGCCGGCGTTTCGCGTCAACCTTATATTACTGCTGACAGGAAACTCCGGCCTGGCAGCGGCACTCCCACGGCACATAGCACCTAATCGCAAGTTATGAGCTCGCCTTAATGAGCATAGTGAACCCACTGTGTCCTTCCGTGCTAGCCCATTGTAATTCTAACACCTTTTGCTACAATGCCACTGTTCATTCTTTTTTACATACCCTTTTTACATACCCGAAATTATCACATTGTCTAATGTGAAAATTTCACTTATTTTTGCCCGAGTATAACACGCTCAGTGGTCACAATCGCATGGATTTGCATACCTGATACCATTCAAAGACAGTTCCCGCGATCAAATGATCAGTGAAATGCCTGCGTGAATTTAACAGCTACCCATAATTCCGCACTCGCGTGTACCACTTCTGCCTCTCGAAAGGGCTATATAAAGCGGCTACAGACGCGTGACTCTTGCACGCTTTGCGTACATTGGCTCACTATCCAGGGCAAGCAGAGCAGCTCGTAAGCTCAGGGAGACCGACAAGTTAGGATTCTTTGCCAAAGCATACGATTCGTCCTACGACGCTGCATACAACAAAATGCATACACGTAATTCACCGTGTAAGTCGTTGTCTTGCAGACTGAAAAGAACAAAGTGTGCAAGAGTCACGCGTCTGGCCGCTTTATCTCGCCCTTTCGAGAGGCGAAAGTGGTACACGCTATGCGAGTGCGGACCTAGATGTTAAATGCACGGAGGCATTTTGCTGATCACTCGATCGCGGGAACTGTCTTTAATGATTCGAGGGATTATACCACAGTTTTTATCTCTTCCAGAATATTCTGCTAGGATGTAGAGTGCTCATTTGGCCTAAGTGGAATATCACTAAGTCTTCGAGAAAACGGAGTTTCTCTATGAATATTCATCACTTCTATTCCTACACTGTGGCACATTTGCTCATACTGCACATTTTTATGCCTTTCTTATGCCTTTGGATTTTGATACTTTTAGGGTTTGATGGCATTGAACTTCATGGGGCGCATGGCTATCTTTTATCATCGTTTATGTCTCCAGCAACAAATAATCGCACGGATAAGTATGGGGGATCTGCTCAGAACAGAATGAGAGTGATTCGTGAGATATTCGATGGAATCAAGTGAGTCATTCACTTTCATACTCTAGTTCGCTGCGGACGGTTGGGCGTGTCAGGCAGTATGAGTGTGTCACGCCGTCAAAGCCGTTCTCTGCCTTCTTGTTGAAGCGCGCATGCAAAAAGTGGTAGAAAACGAGTAATACGAACGATATGATACAGTCATATCACTTTGCTCGCTTTAACAACTGGTGGAGAACGGGTTTGGCACCGCGCCAAACTCATCGCCTGACACGCCCAACCGTCCGCAGCGAACTACACTATAGGAATACATTCAAAGGAGCTGCAGGAGATCATATAGTAATAATACAGCATTCAGGAAGGAAGTTTCAACCACAGGGTTTTTGATAGGAATAAAGACGAATACAGTCGAACTTCAGGAAAAAGGTCTCACTGTGGAAGAAGCGAAGGTCATGTGTGATATAATTGAGGTGAGATAGTGAGATCAAAAAATGTTTTCAGCCAAGGGAATTTGAGCTTATTGTCAGTACTGAATTTTTGCAGTAATAGTATGATATTTTCATTGAATGTTTCCAGAAAATTGGTTTCGATTTTGTGGAGCTATCTGGAGGGACGTTGGAGCGAAATGCGTTTCAGCACAAAACTGATGCCAGCAAAAAACGAGAAGCTTTCTTTTTCAATTTCGCTGAGAAGGTTAGTTTTGCTCTGTAAACCTTTCAACAGCTATTTGTTTCACGCCCACCTCAGGTATTCGAATCCCCCAGACTAACCTGACCTTCTCCATATCTGTCCGAGATCGTTTGCGTGGCAGCCGTCAGTTGGCTGGTTGTGTTTTCTGTCGAAGATATAACTAGGGTGTTCAATGTCTTTTTCGGCTTTACTCGTATCTCCTTGTGCAAATGCTCCGCAAGTACAGTCTTGCTCGAGGTGGATGATGGGACGTGCCAAGAGAGAACGGTTTTGGCGCAGGTGTATGTGGCAAAAGAATCGTGGTTCGCCGCTCCGGTGACGTCGCGTGCGACGTCGCGCCCGCTAATGCCGCTTTTTCAGGTGTTATTGGTTGTTATTGGTCGAGAATAGGCAATGTATGGCCAAAATGACATAAGTATCTACGATGTCCTAAGTTGACATGAAATCCGATGCTCCATCCGAAAGAATAGTGCAAAATAAGGAAACGTCGCGCCCATCGCCGCGCGCGACGAAGCGGCAAGTTACGATCCACTTGTCCGTCTCCCTTTGCGCGGCGCTAGCCCATTTTTTTTCTTTTGGCGAACAGCTGTGTCATATCTCGTTTAGGTCGTTTTTCACCAGCTGTTCTCGCTTAACCACTTCAACAAGTGATGGAAAACGGGCTGGTCGCGCCAAATGCAGCCTCCATGACACGCCCTATCATCCGCAGCAGACAAGGCTGTAATTCCATTTATAACCTTTCCTTGACTGCTTTCGCCGCGTTTCGGATGTGCTAAACAACCCCGCTTCCAAAGATCATTGAATGGTTGAAGTGCCATGGATGCAGTTCAGCACATTTGAAGCGCAGCGAGGACGGCAAAAGGGATGGTGCAACCGGGATCACGTGCGCGGTATTCGCACCAGGACCCATCTGATACAGCATGACATGCTACAGTCTTTCGAGTTGACTAGCTAGGGAACACCTCGCTAGTTCTGCATTCAGATCTTCGAAAACATTGAACAGTGAATGAAAGGGTAGGGGCAATGGCTGCCTTAAACTGAATGACCCGACGCCAAAGTGCCACGCTAGGTCATAGACAGAAATGTGGAATGCCGCGACCCAGATCTCCTATACCGATTCTTTCGTGGAGCTATTTTTTTGCATTTTTGCGCGAAACACCACAGTATACCTACAGTAGGAAGTGCTGCCCCAGATAGCCACGCCCCTTTCTGCTGCGATCTGAACTGCGTCGCTATCATTAATTTACACGTAACTGCGCTTGCTTATTTTCTCGAAACTTGATATCATATATTTCAAAAATAATGGGTTTCTATAGTGATAAAACACTGCTTGTAGATACGCCCGGTTTTCAAGGATACTGTGGTATACTTGACGGG